GTGGAGATAGACGAACTGGGCAAGGTGCTCACGCCCACTCAGGTGAGCAAGGCCTGGTCCTCCGCCCCGGGGGTGTGTCGCATGGGGGCGCGGCAAGATGGCGGGAGGCGGCCGGGCCTCTTGCGCCTTCGTTCTGGCAGCTCCCATCGGAGCCTCCCCGGGTGCGGGGAGAAGAGAGAGGTGCCCGGCTTTGACTGCCGACTCTTGCACAGGGACGGCGCGGTCAGGCCTGGCTCCGTGCCGCAGGAGAAATCCCAGCGGCTGTCGTAGGCTGGGTGCTCGGTGGCACGAATGGCCTTGAACTCCTCGGGTGTTGCTGCCTGCGCTGGTCACACGTGGCCTCCATGTGCAGTGCTGCTGGCTGGTGCAGGCTGCGTGGTGCAGGCAGCTGGTGGCTACTCGTGCTAATGCTGTCATCCCTCCAGGTCCAGCATCGTCCCACCAGCATTGAGTGGGATGGCTGTGATCCCCAGAAGCTCTACACCCTGGTTCTCACAGACCCGGATGCTCCCAGTAGGAAGGACCCAAAGTTCAGGTAATGGGGGTGGGCAACTCACTGTCTTGCCTGGAGAAAATGGATCCCTCTTGGTCTGAGTGGAGCCTTAGAATGAGGTTGGGAACATGCTCTGCCTAAGGTGCAGCTGGGAGCCTGTGGCTTGGGATAGAAACAGTGTCCTTGCATCTCTCCTTGAGACAAGGACAGCAGGGGGAGGAGCAGCTACTTTTGCCAGGGTTGTTTGGAGGTCTGTTGTAGCTTGGAGAAGCACAGTATCTGCTGCTCGCTCCATTGCTTGCTCTAATGTGGTACATGTGTGAGTTGGAATTAGGTCTGTCTGTGCTAGCAGTGAAGTCTTAAACCTGGGACCAGCTCACCTTTCTCAAATCAGGCTTGGAAGCATGTGGAGTACCCACTCCTAGGAGTCAGGCTCTGGGTTTCCTGGAGCTGCAGGGCAGGATGACGGAGCTGGTTTTGACAGGCTCTGCATCGTGAAGGAAGCAGTACCTGCTCTAGGACTGGTGCTCTTTGCATTTGGCAAACCAGGAACGGCAGCTGTTAGATTCAGTTAACCTGCAATGACAGCCTTATGGAAAAGCAGCAGCTTGGAGTAATGAAGGGTTTTGGCTAGGTCTGTGATGCAGTCTGATTGGGTTTTTGCCTTTTCCTTTCAGGGAATGGCACCACTTCCTGGTGACCAACATGAAAGGCAACAACGTGGGGAGTGGGACTGTGCTGTCAGATTACGTGGGCTCTGGACCTCCCAAAGGAACAGGTCAGTACCTGGCCACAGCTGCGTGTGGATCAAATGCAGTGTGCAGGGGAGGGTGGGGAGGCCTGCAGAAAGCTGTCTGCCAGCTTGGAGGGTGCTGCATGGCTGGGCAAATAGCATGCTGCGCTGCAGAAACACTCCATGCAGGAGTGCATGCGCACCTGTGCATAGCCATGACCAGCACAGGCGCGTATTGCCCCTGTCCCCTTGCTGCCTGGTGACAGGCCTGCGCTGTTCTGCCTGCAGTTGGTAGGCAGCATTGCCTGGTGGGGGGAGCACTAGCCTAGGCAGGACTTGAGCCATTCAGGCATATCTAGTGCATCTTCTCTAAGCTCCTTTAGCTCCATCGTACTTAGCCTTCTGATCCTAGACAATGCAGGCATCTGTTTCCCTGCGCTCCTGGGGTCACTGCAGAGCAAACCTTAAACCTGGGAGTTGCACGTGATGGGCACTTGTAATGCCATCTCCTCCCTGCAGGGCTGCACCGCTACGTGTGGCTGGTGTACGAGCAGCCGAAGCAGCTGACCTGCAATGAGCCCATCCTCTCTAATCGCTCTGGTGACAAACGAGGGAAGTTCAAGGTGGCTTCTTTCCGCAGCAAGTATGAGCTGGGGGTGCCGGTGGCTGGCACTTGCTACCAGGCGGAGTGGGATGACTATGTGCCGAAGCTCTATGAGCAGCTGTCGGGGAAGTAGGGTGAGGGGATCTAAAGAAGCACTGTGCAGCACCCCTGCGCCCCTGGAGACCAGGCAGGTCAGAGCATGTCGCTGTAGTTTTGTTTGATTAGCAAGTTGAACCCAACTGCTCCTGCGCTGACCCCTGGAACTGTAACCCCGTCACTGTCCCTGGCCTGAACCTGCTTCTGTGTTGGTGTGGTCCAGACCTGTGCTGTGCTTCGGCTGATTCCTGTAGGTACAGGCGATCGCTAGCTAGATGAGCTTCTGACAAGGTGTCCCTGTAAGGGCCACCTCCTCCAGGCTGACCTGCTTAAGGGAACCCAAAGCCTTGGTGAATTAGTGTCACTTCAGAGTGTCTCTGCTGTACTGAAACAGTATTATGCAGCAGTGCTGTGGGTACAGAGCCACTTGTGGGCTGGTGCTGGGTATGTAGTCTCCCCTTTCTAGGAGAGGAGATGGCAGTCTAAAGGAAACACCCCCCCTCCCCCCCCTTTTTTTTTTTTAAATTTTTATCCTCAAGTATTTGCCCAGTGCCTCTACTTCAGTGAAGTGAACCACTAAAGTAGTGAATGGATAGCTGGTAGAAGGAGGCAGGCAAAGCTGGTTTATAGCACTACCTTCTGTTTTCTGTTGCCGGTCAAAGCTGAGAGACCACTTCATTTTGTTCAAGTTCTGTTGTGACCTGATGTTAATGTGCTGTTTGCTCACAGTGCAATTAAAAACTTACCAAGATGGATGGTGTGGTTGTCTTCTTGGGGGACAAGGGGAATGCTGACAGGAGCAGCTTGGTGTCATCGGTTCCTTTCCTCCTCCTGATGCTGAAGAGGCAGAGCTCCTCTGACAGAGCTCCACCCTCCTGGCAGTGCTGCCTGGAACAAGTGCTGATGCTGGAGGAATGCAGCTCAAAGCAGCCGTGTCTGCAATCCACCTTGTCCACATTTACATCTACTCACCTTGAGGTGCAGCTTGCTGTCACAGTAAAGGTTCATGGCAAATGGAGCATGGGCAGGCTGGCTTCAGAAGTTGAGAGAACACTTGTTTTTCCAGGGTGTTCCTGAAGCTGCTATCACTCAGCAGCAGCAGGGTCATTTATCTCCTGAAAAGCTCCTGTTACTGACCTTGACATTCCTTGCAGCTGATGGGGCAGCCTGTGCTTGCAGGTGTGTCCTGTGCCTTGGCCAGCTGTGGGGGAGCAGAGCCAGCTGTTAAGGAGCCCTTCCACCTGCTCTGACAGCCTCCCTGGGGCTGAGGGAGCCCAGTGCCTTCTGTCTGTGTTTGGCAGCTGGCAGAGGAGCCAGTCTCTGCCTGTCCTGGGGGACCTCCCCACAGGCATGGTGCTCCCCAGAGGCCTCCTCCCCTCCACCCAGCAGGTGCTGCTCTGCAGGAGCCCACACCACCACAGCTGAACCCCAATTGCAGATTTCAGCTCCTGTGAGAAGCACCACCAGCTTTACTGACCTGAAGCCACTTCCCAGCCAAGCTGCAGGGTCCCAGTTTTTCTGATCCTCTACCAGCTTGCAGTGAGGCCTCGGTGGTGTCTCCTAAGCACTTAAAGCAGAAAATGAACCTTTGGTCCAGTCTGACATATTTAAAAGGTTAAAAAAGATGAAGCCAATGTAATTCTACTTCATGGAACTAGAAGCCTTCCCCCTTTTTTTAAACTACTTCAAAGGTCTGCACCCAAGTGGTCCAAGAAACAGGTATCAAAAACCTCAACATGTTGCAGCAAGACCCTGTAAAAATCAGTGTGACTCTAACTAAGAAAGGTGGTTGGTTTCTGCCCCAAGGTAGTTTTTCAACCCAGCCATTAAAACATTTAAATATTAAAACAGGATTGATGGTTTTTCAGGGAAACATCCCCAGCTACTCAAGATCCACAAGAGTAAGCGTATCAGGCAGGTTGAGACATGCTTCAACAGCTCTACTTCGCTGTGCTCAGCAAGGGCTGATCCATCTTAGGCCTTCTCAGGCTGGAAGTGGGACATAAAAAATAAGCTACAACCCAATAGCCTAAAAACCTGTGAAGAGAACCAGGTTTGGAACAGAGCCCCAGAGGCTCCTCCAGCCCCACCAGCACAGCCCCCAGCTGAAGGACGGGGCTGGCAGGACATCTGACCCCGGCCTGCCACCACAAGAGGTGCGGTGGCAGCCGTGGAACAGGTCACCGCCCCT